CGATCGATCGATCAACGAGAATTTAATTAGTTATCCGTTCTAGGTCCTCGTGTTGACTGAAACTGATGTGAACAATAACGACAACCGGGATAAGGCTACCAACCGTTAATGTATAAAGTATGGTAGATAGATATTCGGACCGGTTATAAGTGCAAAGTCGTGTGCGAGGCATGAGATTTTCTCGCGGTTAGACATTTTAATACGGAAATCCATGAGCTAGATGGAGGTGGGGGTGGAGCATGTGTCCAAATCGAAGCAACCGAGAGCATGCTCACACGCTCACTTTGAGAATCTAAAACAAGTGAGAAGTGAGTAAAACCGTACACGTATTTGTGTAACTAATGCGTAGCAGCACATGGTCAAGTTGAAATAATTGTGTTGGGGAGGGTGCAGGGGGTCGGAGGTTGCGTTTTGAAACCAGCCACGGTGACGAATTACCGAAAACGATTCCTTTAAACAAATAACCGAGTCCACATTTGTCTAACCCGTTAAGGAGGTCTCCATTTCCCTACTGGTCGCCGTTCCTCCCAATGTCATCTTAGTGTGCACAATCATCCCTGAATTCATGCAATTCAGTTCGAGTTTCGGCCCCATAAGGATACATCAGTGATGCATATCTATCGGTCAAATCACATGTTGAAATAAATTGTGGGGTACAGAAGAACTGTAATGTGGTACCCAATATATCTATATAGTTCCAATGACGGATATCAGTCCGTGTATCACAATTTACCTGGACCGAAAAAAACGGTAAATTTTGGTGAAGGGTTGGTTTGCCACACACACACATCAGACCGGTTCGAGGCGGATCAGACATAGACGAAACACTGACCGATCAATCACTGTGTTCCATTTTGATACAACGGGCTTGAACCGTGGATTTATTCATGCTTTCATACTTACTAGTGAATGGCATTGGACATACAGTCTAAACAAACGGCCCATTAATCGAAACGGAATCATTAAGGGAGTCTAACCAGGCAGCACAATCCCTGGTAATCTTCACGTCATTTTTATCCATCCAGCACTGGTGGTCGTCAGACAATACAAGTTATGACTGGCGTGCTTTGAAACNCTTGGGTCCAAGGTTCGAACCCTGTTACAGTCAACCAACTTTGGTCGTAGGTAGCTTTGCTCTCGTTCGGCTCAAAAGCAAGTTCTAATCCTCATGTGGTTCGTCATTTCAAACCCCGGGCTTCGGTTGCCAGTTTCCATAGTGTAAAAACAGGTCCTCGTGACTATGGGATTTCGATTGTTCATCACAGAAAATGGACATAATAAAAATAATTCAATTACTGAGAAAAAACAGGGGAGCTTTGCGAAGCGGATCGGATAGATACCTCATTTGAACAGACCATCACACAGACCGAACCTGTCCATTTGAATTCATTAGGTTACGTAGCCCGAACCTGTTCGCTTTTTGTGAGCTGATACTAATCAGACGATACGACAACCGTTTTGTATGTATCTTGGGACAAACCAAACAACGAATTACAGTTCACCATTTTTCTACTCTAATTTATTGACTATATAACAATGCACAATCATCATTGGGCAAGTGAGGCTGTGATCAACTTAAGGCTATCGGAGGACTGATAAGAACGCAAGGTCACGGAGGTTCAAACTAACCGACGGAATACGAGACAACAGGCGGAGAACCTAAATAGCTCAACGAACATTCTTACGTGTTTTCCATCCACATGACTGGTCGATGAGACAGTACAGAACAGCGGGTCCCAGTGTCTGTAAGATGAAATTCACCCTAAGTAGAACTTATCACATAAGAAGTAACAAAAAAACAAACACTCCACAACAAACTCGAATGAAGCACGGGCGTTGATCGGGTCTCGAAAATAAACTGTTCTGAAACAAAGATCAAAGGACAAATCGATTTTTCTGGTTCATCCATTTCACTCTTCGGCTCAATTCGATCCTTCATCAGTCGAACCGTAATAGACGAGACAACAGGCGATATATGACTGAATAACGATGAAGAAATAGTCACGCTAATTGGCCAATCAGAAGTCGAGGGTTTGGAGCCACAAGCCTTTCTACATTATTTTTAGGCATCGATGTGGTCACTGGCTTCTTTCTGAACCGATCTGGTCTAAAGAAAACAATTTTCACATTTTTTCCACCACTGAAATGGTCGGGTCTTGTAATACGGGGAATCGCGAAGCCCAAAATCTTCACAACCAGACCAACTGCTCTTTGCCAGTGTCCGTTGCGAAAACAGATACCCGGAACCCATCAGCGAAAAGCGGAAGAACTCTCCGGTGTCAGATGCCCGGACGCCTCAGCAGGCGCGGATGGGCAATGGGACAGTGATAATGATGCTTTTTGCCATGTGATCGTGTTCGAGAAAACGAGTGGGTGAGCGAACAATTGTTTTCAGGTATTCCTAGTCATGCTCTTAGATGTCATATAGTGAACAAATGCTTACAGAATGACAGCCATGGGCTCAATAAAGGTTATTAATCGGGGTCAGAGGGA